CACACACACACACACACACACACACACACACACACACACACACACACTCACACACACACACACTCACACACACACACACACACACACACACACACACACACACATGCGCGTGCACCACACACACACCGCGCGCGCGCATACGCACACACACGCATGCACGCAAGCACGCACATACTTCCGTGTTTAAGTCCATTTTTGTTAAATTTTTATATTATGCTTGTATAATAGCTGCCTAAACTTATGAGTGTATTATGTACAATTTTACAGTCATGTCCGTGGGGTGGAGGCCTGGTGATCCATAACACAGGTTTTTTACCTAGCTTGGACACCAGTCTCCCATTTTAGCATTGTTTCAATTTATATCTGTACAAATTGCCATTTTAGTATTTGTAAGCTATTGGGAGAAAATAAATAAATAAATTTCACGTAACACGGGTGACGGTTTGAGATTTGAAGTTTCTAGAGATGTAGTGATAATCGATTTTGAGACAATAATTTAAGAACAAATAATAAATGAAATAAAAAGGATTCAATTAATATGTTATTAAGTTACTAAAAAACTATACAACAAATAAAAAACCAACAATAACCAAATAAAAAGTCAATAAGAAAGCATGAAATCAACAGCAACGTAATCCAAAAACGTTACACATACATAGCTCGAAACAAAAAAACCCGCATACAAGGTGTATGCACTCGTATTGACGCGAAATACACAACAGGCAATTCGATTTATCGATTCTATGGTATCAATCTCTATGGATAAATATTCCGTTATACGCATTGGGTAATGTGCATCTTATTTTCATCTTTATTATTTAATTTTCTTTCTACTTAATATACTGTAATTTTTTACTTAAAACTACAAAGCTGCAACAAGTATTGTTTGTTATAATTACTAATACAAAGATTCCATCGATCCGTCCGGATTCGAATCGAGACCTCTTCTAGCAAACCGTGGCAGACGTTATGCCAACTAAGCCACGAAACGAACCAGCGGACATCACTTATATTTTGGTTTTTCAACGACATTTTAGCCGTAGCGCCATCTATGAGAAATCTATGAAAGTATTTCGTCACCCAGTTAGGTAACTTTACAGCTACCAGGATTGGCCTATTTAAATTTGTATTGAATTGATATTCAACTATTTTAAGCATCGTTTATTTTTGCTATCTTATAAAAATTTTACTATTTCTTTTTGTAACCTGGTTGAGAGATTGGTTAAATATAGTATGCACGCAACGTAACAATTTTAAATGCCACAGTACCCATCCTATATGACATTTTAATTCACGTACTAGAGACGAAAGAGTTTTATGCATGAACTTTTGTGTTACAGGAATATCAACCTACGCGCGGCGCTAATTCACGTCATAGGTGATCTCATACAGAGCTGTGGGGTACTGCTGGCATCTGTACTCATTAAGTTCTATGTAAGTTAAGGCAAGTCACCGGAGGAGAAAAACTGTTTTGCTGGATTGCTCGTGGTCCCGGGTTCGATCCTCGGCCGGACCCAGAACTAACTTTCCAATATTGTCTCGGGTGTTGTGCGTATCTGATGTTGTCTAATATTTTATTTATATTTATTTAGTTATGTTACTTGTTTCCATGTAGTAACCAAATCATGAAGGAAAATAAACGCTAAAAAGCCGTGCTTATGTTACGTTCTACTGTTGTTCTTACATCCGTAAGATTTGTTAATAAATTTGTTACCGGACCCGGGGGTCGATTCAGAACCATACGATATTTCAGTTGTCGACCGATTTCTTTTCATTTTTATTCACGACACTCGAATCGATAATCAAACTGTCGTATGCGAAACCGAACCGAAATGACGTCACACCCGTACGATTACTCGAACTTCTCGACCGGCAAAGGCTACAAACGTTATTCGGAACACAGTTATCGAAAGAAAGTTACCGAATGTCCTATTGTTTACAAAGCAAGAATGTAATATGGAAATCTCTTATTATTAGTCTGGATTTTGTTCAATTTTATTTTTAGATTTTCATTTTTCTTATAATCTATTTCACTGACTCTCATGATAATTTCATTATTTTGCGGACAATTCCAGCCGGCTGCTCAAGTAGTGGACCCGATCTGTACATTCATCTTCAGCATACTGGTGCTGGCAACGTCCGCGCGCGTCGTACGAGACGCCTTGGCCATGCTCATGCAAGGTGTGCCTCCCAACTTCAGGTAAGTCGTTCGTAGTGTTGCCACTTCCTGGTCGGGTCTCGAAAGATAATTAAAAGCTTAAATCTAAGTCGGGACACAAATGATAATTTATACGCGTATATCTCAACCGGGATTCAAGCTTATCTCTTAGTACTCAAACCATAGTTGCACGCTTATTTCTCAATGGGTATTCAAAAGGTACAAGCTTATCTTTTAGTCGGTACTCAAAAGATATAATTAAAAGCTATATAATTATATCTAACTCGGACCTCAAAAGATAATTAATTACACGCTTGTATCTAATCGGGACTGGAAAGATATTATATGTCAATCGGAACTCGAAACATACAAGCTTATTTATATCTTAATCGCTGGTCAAAAATGTATTACAAGTACATATCTAAGTCGAGACCTAAGCAAAGGTAAACACACTAACCGTTAAAGTGGCGGATCAACGGACTCATCAAATTTGACTTGAAAACTTTTATGATTTTAACTATTACGTCTATTGACCTTTTGTGGTAGGTCATTCATTACGTCTATCGAAAAATGGGATGTTCTTCTTCCTGTCCTTATCCCATGCTAGGTGGGGTTGGCAGAACGTGTATTTTGCTTCCAGTCTCTCCTGTCAACCGTCCATTTCATATTCACACCTTTATTATCCGTGTCATCTTTAATACAATCCATCCATCTTTTCTTCGGCCTTCCTTTCCCCTTATATGCCCTCCACATTCTTACCTAACCCTCTTCTCGTCATATGACATTTTTCACTCCGCATGACAATATTCATATCACGCTAACCTATTACTCCTTATCTTTTCGGTCTCTGGCACCACTTTTAAACTTTCTGAGACGTACTCATTCCTTATCTTATCCTTTCTCGTCACTCCACACATCCATCTCAACATTTGCATTTCCGCTGCATGCACAGTTTCATTCAACCTCCCTTTTCATCGCCCAATATTCTGACTCATACAGTACGACGAGTCTAGTCACAGTGTTGTATATTTTCCCCTTTAGCTTATTTGATGTCATTTCTCCATATTTGCTTTACTTCATTGTTATCGAGTTTAGAATTAAAAATTTTCAGATACCGTGAGCTAGTAGGATCGTTATCGTCAATAAACGGTGTTCGACATGTCCACTCGGTCCACGCGTGGGCGTTGTCCACGCACCACATTATAATTACAGCACACGTAGCTATAGGTGAGTTGTTATTTTTTACCATTTTATCGTCATTATTGTTGACAGCGGCGTCTATTCGAACGAACTGAAAGTTCAGAAACACTGTTCAAACAAATATTCACACACACAATACACGCACATATACTTCATACATACATTTGAAATCGTCTTGCAAATAAACAATGTGTACAACATTTTTTATTTTTGAATATTTATAAGGGACAACTTAAAAGAGTTAAACTATCACGGATTTGTTATAATTATTAATACGAAGATCGAACACTCAGAAAAAATCCTTCGATCCGGCCGGATTCAAACCGACGTCTTGTACATACCATACGCATACAATATGAAATATCATAGATTTCTCATAGATGGCGCTACGACTAAAAAGTCGTTGAAAAACCAAATACAAATATACGACAACAAACACATAGAAAAATTCGTGAGGTCCGCTTAGTGGTCGAAAAGACTCGAGCCTTTTAGCCCTAAATTTAAAGCTTGCGAGTCTTTTTTAAAGGCGGACTCACAAAAGAGTTCGAAAAGGCTCGAGCCTTTTAGAACTAAATTTAAAGCTTGCGAGCCATTTTTAAAGGCGGACTCACAAATCAGTAGTTCTAAAATTGCTCACTATAAAAGGGTTTGAGGCTTTTTTAGGCCGAGGCTTTTTTTAAAGCCTTTTTAGAAGACTGGCGTTAGCGGTCAAAAAGGCTCGAGCTTTTTAGCCTTTTTTTAAGACTCACCGCTTTATAGTGATGGCTACAATATTAATAATAATAAATGGATAATAATAAATATGTCACTACATATTCACACAACGCTATCTAGTCCCAAAGTAAGCAAACTAAAGCTTGTGTTATGGATACTAGACAACCGATAAACAAACATATACATTTATAGACACAGAACAAATTATCATGTTCATTACACAAACATTTGTCCTCGGTGGGAATCGAACCCACGACCTCTGGATTAGCAGTCAGGATTACTAACCACTACGCCACGACGCCACTATTCTAAAAAGGCTTTAAAAAAGCCTAGGCCTAAAAAAAGCCTCAAGCCCTTTTTTAGTGAGCCATTTTAGAACTACTGTTTTGTGAGTCCGCCTTTAAAAAAGACTCGCAAGCTTTAAATTTAGGGCTACAAGGCTTGAGCCTTTTTGACGGCTAGCAAAAGCCATAAATACAATTAGCCTCGAGGGCTTGAGAGTTATTTAGCTTTTTAGCCTTCTAGCCATCGCTATAAAGCGGCGAGTCTTAAAAAAGGGCTAAAAGGCTCGAGCCTTTTCGACCACTAGGTCCGCTGGTTCGTTCCGTGGCTTAATTGACTTCGTAGAAGACGTCGGTTCGAATCCGGCCGGATCGAAAGAATTTTTTCTGAGTGTTCGATCTTTGTATTAATAATTATAACAAACTGGTGGAGTAATTTCACATATAAATAATTGAATATCAATTCAATAAAAATTTAAATATCAAGGATGTCATTAAATTACACAGAAGCCATATAATAAACTGGCTATGTTGAGTGTGTTCGTTATTTATTTATTATTTATATAACGTTTTAGAGAACACTTTCGCTCAATCGCTGAAAAGAACCGGTCAATTAGCATAAATAGTTTTAAGGCAAACCTATGTAATACTTTCATTAATTAAATCTTATAAGAGGACACAAATTGCCTTTTTGAAAAACCTCCTTCCGGCGGCTAGTTCCGTCATTTGTATCGCATGTGTGTGTTTTGTGATAAATAAACCATTTATCTGTCTATATATCTATCAGATGAGCTAACAGACCCAGAAATAGTGCTCCGCGAGTGCCAGAAGCTAGCGCGCGACGAGTTCGAAGTACAGTCAGCCACATTCCAAGTGGAGCGGTACACCGTTGCGAGTCAGTCTTGTGATACCTGCCACCAGCAGCCTGCAGCACGCTCCTGACATCTCACCACTTTGTCGCACTAAACAGGTACTCCGACACCCACTGTTACCACTTATAACAGGTCTTGTAGTTCACAGCGACTGCGGAACCAAGTTGTTTCATTCCCTGCTTCTAAATCCATGATACTAATTACATTTAAGCTTGAAATACACAGAAAGCGGGTGCGGGTCTTGTGTCCCTCTCGTGTCCCGCGTTTGGTGTGTTGTCGTCCATATAAATACACGGAATCAGACCCGCCGCGGTCCCGACCCGAAACGCGTCCGATCCACACCTGCTTTCTGTGTGGTTCACGCTTTATAAGTGTGTGAACCAATTTTGATAAATTTTAGTACAGAGATAGATGGGACCTAGGAGGACATATGGTAAAACTTAAAGGGGTTGAAATAGAAGATGAAAGTTTGTATGAGACGGGCTCCAGCTAGTAGGGAATAAAACTATAGTCTTTCTTTTTTGAAGTCAGAGTAAAATGACAGATGATAGCGCAAAAGTGTTAGCTAGTGATTGCAGTCGATAAATATTGTAACGACTATATACTTTTTGCTTTGTCGCCACTTTGTAGTTTATTGGATTTAGACTAGACTGTAATACCTACGTACCTGGTTCAAATATTCTCAATCAGGCTAGTCCACTGCGGGTCGAGTCAGCACGTGGCAAATTGATAGTTATAGAACATGTATCGTTACAATATTAAACTCGACAATTAACTTAGTTGTATTTTTCCACCGAGTCTATGCAAGTCGTAATGTTAAACAGTACATAGAGGAACTTACCAGTTGTTTGTCTCTTAGGGTACATTCACTTACACTGCCATATCTTTAGTTTTAACCAAACTGAAGTGCACTCGGTTCCCGCCATTGACGTTACTGCCGTCTCGATAGTGTCAAAAATAACAAGTTAGCAACATTGACTTACAAATATATGGACGTCGGGTCCGCGCTAAAAAGTGTCCGAACTTATAGGGCGTTAAAATCGTATACAGAGCGTCATTCACGCTTTAGTCTTCGTTTGTTCGACTGACAGCGAAGCAAGCAAAATTAGACAGTACTGCGATGACATTACAATTTAAATTCAACGTTTTAGCTTTTTCATATTCCTTTACATGTCACTACGTTTAAATAGGTTGACTTGGGACATTTTTTTCATGATTTTTGTATTAGACCCGTCGTCCATTTATTTGTAAGTCAATGGTTAGCAAAGACAAAACAGTGTTTCGACAATACAAAAAATGGATGAACTCACCAAATGAGTTATTATCGCGTGATTCGCGACAAGCTTGATATTATAATTATTAAACCAAGATTTAACACTTAAAAAAAACTATTTCGATCCGGTTGGATTCGAACCAGCGTCTCTCAGCAAACCGTGCCAAACGCTATGCCAACTACTAACTAAGCCACGGAACGAACCAACCGACCTCACGAATTTTTCAGTGTGGTTGTTGCAGATCTCTGTTTTTTGTTTTAACGACTGTTTTGCTGGAACGCCATCTGTGAGACAATTTTTGCTTGATAATTTTACACTTTGATCTTTGGGATTGATGTACTCAACGAATTGGTTTTTTATTGTTTTAACTAGATATATTTATTTATTGAAAACACTTGAAACTTACAGTATTCACTTTATCAAAGCACTTACAAGTCAAGCTGATTAAAATGCAATAAAACAAAGTTAAGAAAAATTAGATAACAAAATAAAATTACAAGTACATTGGAAGTAGAAAGTATGTACACTACGCACAGTATGCGACCCATTCTACAGGATACCAGTTCTCGAAAGGTAGTTCACGAACATCAGTATTCCGCGACGGACAACGTATTGTTTTCATTATGAATACAAAAATTGAACACGCAGAAAAACATTTTGTTCGTCGTCCCGGTGAGACTTGAACCCACAACCATGCTGCACCGTAACATTGCTCTCATAATCTGAGCCACGGATCCAGTTATCGGGCCGTCGAAATTCTCCTATGTGTTTTGTTATAGATCTATCTACTGACTTTCGGCATTCGTGGCCGATAGTGACATATAGTGAGAGATTTTTGAATAACCTTCTCACCGTAGCCGATACTTTTACAGGTATCACAACCGACGCAGATGTCGCTTTTCGATCAATGTATTTATTGAATTATTTTCTTAAATAACTCCACGAGTTTTGCTATCACGGTGGGACTTGAACCCACGTCCATAGTGCACCGTAGCATTGCTCTAACCATCTGAGCCAGGGATACAGCTTTGTATTCATAATAATAACAAAACTATTGGTCATTGACAAAAAATCTCAATAAATAACATACTTTTTGTCAAAGAATATATCTAGATTCTGATACTAGGTGAGCATAGACATTGTAGACTTGATTACAGGGAATTATATTTAAGAACTATACAAACCTGAACTGCTGTCTCTTGGGCGGTATCCATCCCATCTAGTGTGTTTCACTGAAGTTGCTACATTGCGCTTCTGGGTGAACCCCTCCATCGCCCATAGGGGTTATTGGCGCGAATACTTTTTAAATTATAAATATTTTTAATCCACAGCGTGCGGTACTAGCCGAAACAAGTCGAAACCAAAGGCCGGTATAGAAGAACGCAAAGACGCGCAGGAGTTGCCGTGAGTTATAAAACTAGATGGGCTCATAGGATAGAAATGAAGGAACAATTTGCGGTCCATAATTTCACTTAAAACATTTTATGGCAGTAATATGTTAGCAGGCAGCGAAATTCAATGAAATAAGAAAGCTATGAATATGTATTAATATTATATAATTTGGATAAATAATGAATTAATATGCTAAGTGTATAATATCATTTCGACAAATATTCAAATGAAAGTTTTAATTGTAATATCGCTACCTGTACATATATTTTTGCACCTGACTGTACACTTGTTTTGACGAACGTCTTTATATGACGGAAAGTTACGTTAATTTACTGTAGTTAATTGGCGTTGACCGTTGAAAATTCATGACTGACCGATCACGTCTCTTCAATCACCGCTAAACGCTGTTCCAAATATAAAACCGACCAATGATACACAGTGATAATAGCCATGTGATTGGTCAGTTTGAATTCTCTATTGCATTCTTAAGGCGTTACCTCGACAACAAAATCGTATTAATAGTAATATAGCTTTGTACGTCGAAAATAAATCGGAATAAGAGAGACCGAGATGGCATATAGCTGTTTTTAATATGAATAAGTGAAACGGCAATATTTCGCGCAAAATTGCAATATGTTTGACACAAATAAATATTGGAGTGAATATTGAATTAGATTTTTAAATAAACTACATTTGTTGTGGTCATAGAAATTTGAAAATTGGACCGTAATCAGAGGCTATTACAGTACTTATTCTTAGAAAGAAAATGAGATCAAAGTGTTTGAAATTTGTCGATGTATCACTTTAAGGCGAATTGAACTACAGAATACATAGTATCAGTGATGGTTTACGAGAAAAGGTAACACTGATATTATAGTCCATTTCACATAGGATGGGTACTGTGACATTTCAAATTTTTACCTTGCATGCATACTATTTTTAACTAATGTCTCAACCAGGTTACAAAAAGAAACAATAAATTTGTTATAATATACCAAAAACTAAAAATATTTGTTGTAGTTGTAATTTTAAGTAAAAATGTTGGTATATTATGTAAATATCAAAACAAACTACTTCAGCTACTTGATGCGAGAAACGTAAAGTTTATCCGTAGAGATTTACACTATGGAATCGATCAATAGAATCGGCTATCGTGTATTCTGCGTCAATATGAGTTCATACACGTCGTATACGGGTCGTTGTTGATGATTTTTTATTTGTAGTGTAGTGTTTGGTAAGAAGTTTATAACATAATAATTGAATCCCTTTTATTTTGTTTATTATTTGTTCATAAATCATTGTCACAAAATCGATTCTCTTCGTTGCAAATTATCTCGATAAGATATTTAAATCGACTTTACGTCACTATACCCATGCTATGTGAAATGAACTACAATTAAAACGTTAGTTCTTATTTGTTGCTGAATAAAAACTTAGTACTAGGGCGCTTGAGGAGGACCGATATTCGATTCCCGTTAGAACTAATTTAGAAAAGAAACTTTCTAAATTGGTTAGGGGTGTTCGGAATAGTGCCCGGGAACTTAATTTTGTTACTCTGGTGCTCTTAGTATACAGGGAATTCCCTAGTTTAAGACCAGATTGGTGTGGTTGTCTCCCACAAGAAAAAAATGTAGAATCAGTGTTACCTTTTTTAATCCACATCACATATAATACGAATGTCCTGATGTGTAAATTGAACTTTGACACCCAAGTATGTACTTAAAAACAAAATATATAAAATTACTTTGTATAAAACTCTATCTCACAAATTATACATTATCCCTCTCGTCTAAAACGGCCAGATTCGTTAGGTTTTTTTGTTATAGTAATACTGTAAATTAAATAGGTAGTTGTCATGATCTCAAATAAAATAAAAGAAATATAAAATAACCCGAAATCTTACCACCAAAATCAGAATACAATATCGTACGTTGAAAACGACACCCTCACTAAACGAAACTCTCGCTTTTTCAAATTGAGACTCATTTTCAGAAATTTTAATGACTATTTTCATAATGTTGACTTTTTCGTTTAGTGACACTATTAATTTCAACGATCGAATATTTTAGTTAAAATTATTTATTGAAACAAGTACGTAAAACGATTACGGTTCACTCGTATTAAGAATGCTGTTCGAAATTCAAATTGGCCAACTATAAAATTAAAAGCCATGTGATTGGTCAGCGTGAATTTCTTGCTTCAGTTCACGAGATAATTAAGCCACGCTATTGGTCGAATTGTATTTCCAACCGCATTCCAACGCGAATCAACTGTAAGTTACCTAGTGCCAATTTCGTAAGACTAGACAAATATTTAAATTTATTGTAAATACAGTTATTAAATTATTATGATAGGTTAAATTGTTCGTACATTACCAAATATGGGTCATTTGACAAATTTCGAAATAGAACGCGGAAAATAGCAAATATCAGTGACATGTACCTTTGTCGACCGACGATAGAAGAAAGAACAAAGTACAATAAAATAATTCCGAAAATTCGGAGGGAGGTATTGTCATCTCTGTGTGTATTACTTCCTTGATTTAAGTCAATTTATTGAACCTATTCTAATCACTGCTAATTACAGTAAAAAGCCTAGTCCGTAGCCCTTACAATGCAAACGCGTTGTGTTTCGAAGTTTGACAATCGCCTAAACTGAATTTAGTGATAAATGTGACGTCATTGAAACAGGGTCTTTGCAATCTGTTGTCAAAGCCCACGCGGCCGACCAAATATATTCGCAGTATTAATACCAATATTGAGTATAGAAAAAATACACCATTTTCTTGTCAAGCAGGATTTGTTCTCCAATTATCGTCTAATTGTCTTCGTGAAACTTGAGACTCAGTCTGAACTTTATAATTTGAAATCCTGATAACAGTGACACATTTCAGTCTGAAACTAATACTTGGTCACTTTGAACCAGCTCAAACCGGCCGGCGTAGGGAAGGCTGAAGACTGATTTATCAATGTACGACTTCTTTAAAAACTTTAAAAAGCTCCCCTATAAACTTGGCAATTTCGACATACTATTATGCTATTTCCATTAATATAAGGTATAAATTGCAATGCTCAGAGCATTGAAATGTATCCCTTATTAATATTGATATTTTTTTGCTTTGCTACCATGATATTTAATATTTTTTTGTGAAATTACTCCAGTATGAATTTCCCTTGTTTTCGAGCCATCGATCTGATCTTTGTATTTAGTTGTAACAAACTACTGGCGTAGGTAATAATTTCACAATGAATAAATTAATATCGTTATAGTAAAACACGTCTACTACCTGTGTGCGACGTCAAATGTCTACATTGGGTCCAGCAAATAAATATATACGTTGATAAATTTAATGTACATACTCGTGTTTTGCCATAAGCTCAAGGCCGGGCCGAAGACAATTCACGTGACAGGTTCGTGAAGGAGTTAAATTCGCTTGTCAGGTAAATGTTACTCATAGTGCGCTTTTTGTTACTAGCATTACTTACTGTCAATTTAATATTCATTGGGTTAAATAGCTATCCGCGAAGCAAATCGATGTCTTACTTTCTCAAACTCGTATCTTATAAAGAGTAATTATTCTGGAGATGGCAAAAGTTTCTATTTATTTTAAATTTCTTATCAAGGATGTTAATTTGGATGCATTACTTCGACACATCCGTAGAACAAAGGTCTATGTGTAAGACTACATACTTGTTCTCAGGACATAGAACATTTCGTTCGTTCTTCTTCGCTGTGGATGTCAGATCGACCTTTGTTCGATTTTATATTTCCGAAACGAAGTAAGATATATAAATTCTCAAAATACCTTTACGTAGGACCTAGTTTGAATAACGAAATTTTCTCGTAACGTACTTATTCTCTTTTCGCTGTATAATCACATCGGACTCTGTTCTTCGGATGAGTCGACTTTAAGAATACGTAAAGGCCAGTTTGTGAATATGAAGGAAATATGATGTGAAATTAGCCTGCAAAATTTCTATATACAATCCATTTTTTGCATTTCAGTAACTCTGTGCTTTAAGATACGAATTTGAGAAAGTGAGGCGACGAAGTGCCAATATAAAGTTTTTGATAGTTCATAGTAGAGTCAGCAAAGAACGCTACAAAAAAAATATTTATAATCATAAACAAGAGATCGGCTGTACAGTATATATTATATTTAAAATGTAATATAAAACATGAATATTGTAGATGTTGTTAGTTTTATACGTAGCTATAGTGTTTGTATTATATTCGTTGATGTTGTACTCGTAAATTAAGAGGCGGAGTTTTGTTTAATTTTTTACTAGTACAGTTAAAATGTGAATTTATTTCAATTCACTGATACTTTTTCACTAGAGATCGAATTGACCTTTATAATAAATATTGAACACATACACAAACACGCGTGCATAAACGCACATGAAACCTAACACTGCCGTAACTCAAAATTTGTGAAACTTAAAAAAATATTGACTGAATCTTATAGCGAATAATATTTATGTTTGGTTATCCATTTATAAGCGAGAATACATATTTATTGGTTTCAGTCGGTAATTATTTTAACTTTCAAGTTGAGATTTCTCAATTCCACAATTTTGTGTTACGACAATACAGAGGGGTATAGAAACAAAGTCGACTCTGTCCTAGAGGATCCAAATCAAGAAAACGAGGTCTTTTCCTTTCAACATCTTCTTGCCGTTTATTAGTCACAAAAATATACTGGCTATTGGATGGTATTAAAATTTGCAAAATTAAACAAAAGCGAACCAAAAACAAATGGTAACACCCTAATAAAAAAAAACAAAATACTATGGATAGTAATGAATATGCTTGTAATGAGTAGATATTATTATTGACTTTGCATCTTAACAGGTGGGAATATGGCAATTTTGTGTCTGACGATTTCGCCATTTTCATAAGTTTGTCAGTAGGGTAAAAGACCTAAATTTATTTATTTATTTATTCTTGCCATGGTTATTCCCTCTACCTTGTAGTCGTGCACCTTAAATTTCTATCAACCGAAACGAAATCTTAACAAAACAAAATTGTCGAACCATTATTGTATATTTTTATATACCAAGTACAAGCAGGTATCATAATTGACGAATACACGGAGATATTAACTTATATTTTCCATAAAAATGTGCATATCTGTAAACATGTAGCCCAAAACAAAAATCTATACGTCTCTGCAACTAACTGAAATTACCGTCTTGAAGCAAAAGACGAAACAAAAAAAATTATATTCACAGTTTAAAAAAAGTACATTTTGGACAGAGACGGTTTTGCTTCTATACTCTTCATTTATTTTATGAGCTTACAGGTCGTGTTTTCTCCATTCCACAATTTTAAGTTACGACAATGTATGGTTTCAGGCGGGAGAAGCAATTTACAATGTTAAACCAATATTGGAAGGCTTATTACATAAGGAAGTAAATTACACTTGAAATCCTCAAATTGATGTTACTCATTCGTAACGCAGATTCTGAAAGAGCTAAAAGGATTGTTTTGATTATTAACATTGTAAATTTCACCGTTTGCGTATGCACTTAGTGTTCAATTTAGTACGCGCGTTTTTAGTCGGTCTCGTGGCGTGCAGAACCTTTGCTTCTCGCTCTTTCAAAAAAAGCAGAAGATAAGGACGCCTATTTTATTAATT